CCGAGGCCAGGCACAGGCTGCCTCGGAGCACCCACATTTTACTGTACTTCCCTGGGTCTTGGGGTTGTCAGTGAATTACAATGGTGTCCCCCACCCTGGGGGACAGGTGTGGTCTCTGGGGTCAGGGGGCGCCTGGTGTTTGCTGGGTGAGTAATGAATGAGTGGACCTGTCCTTTGGCCCGTCTGTGCGAATATCAGATTGGCCTGGTGCAGAGAAAACATCCGAGGGAAGGAATGTTGGGCCGGGCCCGGTTATGCTCCGGTAGCCCGCTTGCTTTTCAGACACGCCGGCAATCAGTCAGTTAGTCAGCGGGCCAGCTCACCCCTCGGCCCCACTCCCAACGGCCGCAGGTACAGGGTCAGACAAGGAGAGGCTCCTCTGGGCCTGTGTGTGTGTCAGGTGCGCTCTCAGCATCAGTGTGGGGTCGGGGTCAAGTTTGTTTGCTTTTTAGAGAGAGGGGAAGAGAAAGAGAGGGAGAGAGAGAGATTTATTGGTTGCCAACACACCCCAACCAGGGATCGAACCGGCAACCTAGGTGTGTGCCCTGACTGGGAATTGAACCTGCGACCTTTACATGTATGGAAAGATGCTCCAACCAACTGAGCCACCTGGCCAGGGCTGGGTCAAGTCTGTACCCCTGCTTCTGGCTGCCTCTCTCTTCTTCCTGATGGGCAGGGAGGTGGAGGTGTTTGTCTCAGGGGAAGGCTGCAGGCCCCCCACTGCCCACGGTGGAGCCTGGGCAGAACTGGGGGGCAGGGCGCTGGGGAGATAAACCAGGCTACAAACATGCGTCTGAGCACCAGCTTGGCACTTAGCAGGGGTCGCTGGGCTAGCAGCAGCAACTCTCCTTCCAGGTGTCCTGCAAAGGAGGCCCGGCGTGGCCCACTGGGGATCATCTGGGCAGAGGGAAGGGCCAGCTCCATTCCTGTGCCTGGCACTTTCCTCTTAGGGTGAGATTCCAGGGCCCAAGTCCCCTGAGCTGGAGCCTCGCAACCAGGAGGGTGGTATCTCCCAAAGGAATCTGCAGCCCTCTCTTATCAGCACAGCCAAAGAGGAGAGCTGGCCTTAGGGGTTCACTTAAGCCCAACCTTTCAGGCTGCGGCAAGCTGAGGCGTCCGGAGGAGCCACCTGGCCGTCCCGCAGGAGTCTGTCTGGGGTCGGTCAGTCGCCAGCGAGCCCTGGAGGATGGCGCCACCCTCCTCAGGACAGGCCACATTTCCAAGAAGGGGCTGGACTTGGGCCCTGTGTCAGAGGCCCCTCAGGAAAAGTGAATCTGACACTTGCTGAAACCGCAGGAAGACTGTCCAAGCCTATTGCAGAGGAGTCGTGACAATAGAAATAGGGGAGACAGACTGGGCTCAACTCCCAACAGGACAGGGACCACTGGCTATTTCCAGCCAAGGGGCAGAGCGAGGGGGTCTGTGGATGGAAAGTGACTAACAGGAGATGTCAAGGGTTGGGGATTCTTGCTAAAGGAAGGCCAAGGACTTACACGTCATGTCTAGGGGTTTGAGATGCTGGGTCTGATACCAAGGGTGGGGGTGACTTAGGTTCCTGCTGCAGCAGGGCTGGGAGGGCTGAAGACCAGATGGGCTGCAAAGATGAGGCTCAGAGGCGCCTGGTTAACGTGTGGTCACAGAGAGAGTCCATCAGACCCATAGGACGGCCCCGAGACCCCGGGGTGAAGAAAGGGCCAGGCTTGGGCTGCCTCCACCGTGGCAGCTGCCTTCCCTGGGCTGGGCTGGCAGGAGGGGTGGGGTGTGCCCAGGCCAGGGGCTGCTGAGAGGGCTCCTCGGAGCCTGGGACAGGTGGGGGGCAGGGCAGTGCCTGCCAGGGTCTGATCCCCGTGATCCACCTGGCAGTCTCCCACTGACCCTCCCACTTCTTTCTAAAAAGAAGATGCTTTTTTCTGAAAATTAGTTATGTTTCTCCCCAAAGTCTTGTTTTCTAACTTGTTGCAAAAGTGAAAGCAGGCCCACTCAAAGGCCTGTCTCAGTGGAGATCTCTGGAGGGATTAAAAGGAAAACGTGAAAAAAGTGGTTAGAATGTCACCGTAGAAACGAACGCTAGTTAATGTCCCCCGTCAGCAGATGGGCTCCACCGCCAGGGAGCTCAGGAGGCTCCTGAGGAGGTGCTAAGGGAGGCGACCGGACGGAGGGGCTGGCTCGCTCAGCCCAGGGGTCTTCAGCAGCAGGCTCCGAATTAGAAACCCTGGGGCGGCTGGGAGCTGGAGCTGGACAGCCTGCCCGGTGATGCCAAAGCCTGCTCCGGACAGAGAGCCACTTGTCTAGACAAAGTCAGGCATTCTCAACACAGAGAACTTAAATGTGAAAAAAAGTACAGCGACAATTCCATGACTTTTGTTCTCTTCTGTCTTAACGCTGCAGTATTCAAAAGTAGGACGTGTGTCCCTTTGACTGGAGAACAGGAGCCAAGCCTGTGGCACTTGTGCAGGCCGGATTCCTGACATTTTTCTTGCTGTTTTGAGACCGGGTCAACAGGCTAGAAAACTAACTTATCTGTCCTTGAATTTTTGCATGGAGTGATTTTTTTTTCAACATTTGAATTAAGTTTAATTTGCATTTTAAACAGAAGACATTCTGGAATAACTTAGATAAAAGAATAAAGACAAATTTGGTAAGTCAGGTTTGAAGAATTATCCGGAGCGCCCGGGGCTCAGAATACACTGTGAAAGTTTGTGCGGTGGGACTTGAGCAGGGGGAAAACCCATTCACCTCACTGTCTCATTTCTCCACTAAAACTTTATAGCCATATATGCTCATCTTAATAATACTATTCAGGTACACATTGTCACTTACTCTAAAATGAATCCATTCATTTAGACTGTAGCTTTAAATAGTTAACTTGTGCATAAAAATGAAAAAAAAAATCAATCGGTGTATGATTTTATGTGGCTTTAGTAACTGGCTTCAAAATATTCCTTTGATCTCAGTTTCCAGAAGGCTTCATTAGCTTCTTTTCAGCTCTTGCTAAACAGAGCTGTAGCCAGTGTAGCCAGTGAAGGGCTGATTTACCTTTTTCTAAGTTGAATTTATTGGGGTGACATTGGATAATGAAATTATATAGGTTTCAGGTGCACAACTTTATAATACATCAACGGAATGTTGTATTGTGTGTTTATCACCCCCAGTCAAGTCTTCTACCCTCTACTTCCCCCCACCCCCTTTCCCTCTGGTAATCACCACGCTGCCGTCTGAGTCTAGGAGTTTTCTGTTGCTGCTGTTTAATCCCTTCACCTTTTCCCCCAGCGCCTCAACACCCCTGCCCTCTGATAGCTGTCAGTCTCTTCTCTGAGTCTGTTTCCTTTTTTTAAAAAATCCTCACTTGAGGACATGTTAATTGATTTGAGGGGAGGGGGGAGAGGAGAGAGAAAGAAAGGGAGGAACATTGAAGTAAGAGATAAACAACAATCGCCCCAACCAGGGATCAATCCGGCAACCTTTTGGTGTATGGGACCATACTCCAACCAACTGACCCTCCTGGCCAGGGCAGTCTGTTTCTGTTTTGTTAGTTCATTAGATTCCACATATGAGTCAAATCATATGGTATTTGTCTTTCTCTAACTGGCTTATTTCGCTTAGCATAATGCTCTCCAGGTCCATCCCTGCTGTGGCAAAGGGCACGATCTCCTTTTTCACCGCTGAGTAGTACTCCACAGCGTGAAGTGAAGGTCCCGCAGCTTTTTTTATCCACGCATCTGCTCTTGGCACTTGGGCCGCTTCCAGATCTTAGCTATTGTAAGCTGTGCTGCAGTGAACATAGGGGCGCCTATATTCTTTCTGATTAGTATTTTGGGGCTACTTCGGATATATTGCCAGAAGTGGAATCGCTGGGTCACATGGCAGGCCGGTGTTTAATCGTTTCCGGAGCTTCTATACTGCTTCCCACAGGGGCTGCACCGGTCCGCATTCCCACCAGCAGTGCGGGAGGGCCCCCTTGCTCCACACCCTGGCCAGCACTTGTTGTGTATTTATGGATGGAGGTGTGCGGGATTCCTCATTGCGGTTTAACCTGCATCTCTCTGATTCCTGGCGACGTTGGGCATCTTTCCACATGCCAATTGGCCACCTGCTCCTCCTCTTGGGAGAATGGTGATGCTGAAGCTAATTTATGTAACCTGGGCCAAGCTCTGCTAGGGGCCGAGGGAAGCTGGACAGGACCCGCCCCGCACGCGGGCACCACGCACAGGCGCGCGCATCCCCAGCCCCGCCCGGGGGACGGGGCTATTAGGGCCAGCCCTGGGACGTCACAGCCTCTGACTACGACATCGCGTAGGTGGGTCGCGTTTACAGCTTAAACATTTGTAAATTCCGCGCTGGAGAAGCTCCGCGGGAGGAGAGGATGCGCTTGATGCGCTCACCCCAAAGCCAGGGCAGCAGGGAGGCGGGGCACCCCGTGAGCTGCGAGAGGAACGCGTGCTCGTGCCCGTGTGCGTGCTCGTGCCCGTGTGCGTGCACGCGTGCGCGCCCCCTCCGCGGAGCCAGTAGCGTCTTCCTCCGCCCGCCTGCGCGCGCGCGCCCGCGCCCCGTTCCGCCCGCCGGCGCGACCGTAAAGAGGCCCGGCAGTGTCGTGAACGGGGCCGCAACCACACGCAGGGCGCTGGTTGACGGCCGCGACTCCATTTTGTTCGCCGCCTTCTCTGCGCGTAAGTCGCTTCCCTCCGTGGCTTCTCCGAGGCGAAAAGTTTAAAAAAGGGTAAAAGTTTTCAGGAATAATTCTGGAGCTCTGTTGCTAAGCGTCGCGAGTGTCCGTTTTCTCTCTGCAGCCGACGTCGACGCTGCGGCTCCGGAGCGGCGAGGAGGATGCGGCCCTTGGACGTGGTGGAGCTGGCGGAGCCGGAGGAAGTGGAGGTGCTGGAGCCCGAGGAGGATTTCGAGCAGTTCCTGCTGCCCGTCATCAACGAGATGCGGGAGGACATCGCGGCGCTGACGCGGGAGCACGGGCGCGCGTACCTGCGCAACCGCAGCAAGCTGTGGGAGATGGACAATATGCTCATCCAGATCAAGACGCAGGTGGAGGCCTCGGAGGAGAGCGCGCTCAACCACCTGCAGGGCCCGGCCGACGGCGCCGAGCCCCGGGCCGCGCGGCGCTGCGAGAAGGCCGAGGAGAAGGCCAAGGAGATCGCGAAGATGGCAGAGATGCTGGTGGCGCTGGTGCGGCGGATAGAGAAGAGCGAGTCGTCCTGAGCCGGGGGCGGAGGTAAGGTCGCGGCCGCGGAGCCCGCGGGACCGCCCCGCGCTCGGCTGATTTAATAACCGTCCCCGCGGGGTGGGAGTCGGGGGAGGGGAGGGGAGGAGCGTGCTCCGTGGGTGACTGTGGGACGTTTTACGAGTTGCCGTTTCAGTCTCTCTACGCTGGTGATGAGGGGGAATCTGCTTGCTTGTGGCTTGGGG